TACATGGGAAAACTTCGATTGACTTGAACTATTTAAGAAAAAAATAGCATTAAATTTTAAAGGCTCATGCAAAAATTAAAATAATTATGTATTAAAATACAATAAATCAACCTACTCCATTTCGAGTAAATGAAGGGATCACTATATAAACAAACATATTAAATTGACAAATAAACGAAATTAAAATTAATGCAAATTGTGAAAAATTCTTTTTAATTTCAAAAGTCACATGAATCAAAGTTATACATTTTTTTTTTTTTTTTATTATATTATTATTTTATATTTTCTATAGGTTTCATAAGAAACGCCGTATAATATTTGCGGAGTGAGGCTCGGAGCGTCAGAGAACCTACGTGACATAAACCAACTCTGGTCCGCAACAAAAAGAGTTCTCCTATCTACGTGCGTACGTATTCTTTTATCCTCAGGCAACAAGTTTATTTAAAGCAGAAAGAGAAAAAAAAAGGAAAAAAAAGAAGTTGGCGCAATATATGGCGGAGTTTTTATATTCACCGGAGGTGTCAAAGCTGTGACACAATCACAAATAGGACACCAATAATTTTAGTCCTAATTCAATGAATGAAATAATAAATATGTAAACCGAACTAAGGATTTTCAAATGAATTTCTGGAATTATTCTAATAAATATTGCAGATCACAATGTGTATTATTAATTTTTGGAACTTTTTTTAAATTAATAATCCCGGGGATTTGTTTTTTTTTTTCCTTTTTTTTACGAGTCTGGAACTACAATGCGAATACTTTAGAACTAAAAAAAAAAAAACACCGTATGTACGTATGTACAGCTCTTTACCTAAAATACCCTATAAAAAATTTCATAATGAAACACAAAAATACCTGGTATTATTGAGACATCATTTTTATGGTTAAAGACATTCAATTTATTAATTATATTTAAAAGTTGTATGTCTAAATAAACATGTTTATTTCAAATTTTTGTTTTTAAAATTTGACCAATAAAATTGCAGTACTATTTGATGTTATACGTGAATAAATTTTTTTTAGCGATCTAGTGAAAGTAGTAAAATAGATAGGTATCCTTATTTTTCGATTTTGGAAATAAATAACAAAGGTAAAAAATACGAATTAGTTTACTCTGCTAGGTTTAGGTCACAGATAAAATAGTCTGAGCTTCAAAAATATTAAGATGATACGTATTAAAGTTGTGCAGCTCGTAAAATAAATAAATATATGATCAATAAAGTTTGCGACTTTATCAAAAAAAAAAAATGTAATTTAGAATTTATTAGAAATAAATTTATCACAATATGTTTTTAATTAGTATTATGTAATCTATAAAAAATTTATTTCAAATTTTAAAATTAAACTTTAAGATTAGATTTAAGTTTTAAATTAAAGATTTTTTTTAATATGCTAAATATTTTTATTTAGTATATTAGATATTAATTGTCACGGCTGAAGCTTGAAACGGCTGAAGCTTGAAACGGCTGAAGCTTGCAACGGCTGAAGCTTGAAACGGCTAAAACATTTTCATTATCAAAACTAACTCTAAATTCTATAAAAAAAAGTTAGAAAATTTTATATTAAAGTATTTAAAATTTCAAGTTTTAGCTATTTTAAGCTTCAGTTATACATTAATTTTTTAAAATTATTTTGAAAAATAGTATATTTGATAAAGTTTATTTTTGATAAATATTAAAATTTAATATAAATATTATTTTAATATTTTTTAAGTATTATATTAAAGAGCCAAAGTTATAATAGTTTATTTATTTAATTTTATTTTAATATTAGTTATATACAAATTAAAGTTTTAAAATTTAGATTTTATAATTTAGTAATTAAGCTTCTAAATTTCTATAAACTAGATTAATAATTTGAATTAAACTAAAAATAAAATATACTTTGTAATCAAAAAAGATCAAAATTATAATATAAAAATTTTATAAAAAGTTTAAATATAAATATAAAATTTATTAAAAAAATTTTCAAATAATTCTTTTTAATAATTATTGTTTCAAGTTTATATCAAAATCTGTTTAAAAAATTAAGACTAAAGTTGAGAATTTAAAGATTCCAATTTTTTCTTGGCTTCAGATTCTTGAAGTAATTTTTCTTCTAATTCACGTATTTTATCATCTCTAAGTCGAATTTGTCGTTGTAATTCTTCAACTTTAGTACAATTTAAGGTTGGTCTGATCTTTAAAAACAGTTTCCACCAAGGGTTCGCTTTTAATGAATTAAGTGCTCTAATATTTTTTTGAATAATAAGAGCTGCACGAAGTCTTTCGTTACGTTTTGCATGATCTTTTCGAGCAAGCCAACCTCTACAGTGAGCTTGAAAATCGGCGAATAATTGAAAAAGTTTTGTATCTCGAATTTCTTCTAATTCTGCTAACTAAATAAATGAATGAAATAAAATAATAAATGAAGTGGAATGAAATAATATATGAAATGAAATGAAATAATATATGAAATGAAATGAAATAAAATAATAAATGAAATGAAATAAAATAATATATGAAATGAAATAAAATAATATATGAAATGAAATGAAATAAAATAATATATGAAATGAAATGAAATAAAATAATAAATGATAATAATGAATTAATAAGAAAATTAAAAACATACCACACCAGCACGAAAGAAAATTTTACTTGAACCAATA